TGCCAGTGAAAATGGAGCTTGGGAGGAGAGTATTCGTTCAGCACTCGTTCTATAATCCCAACCTCTGCAAACCTGCTTCAATAGCCAAACTTGCTGATAGGCAGTTTTAAAAGTGTATGCTGCCCCTGTCTACTTACTTTGGTGTTCTTTGGCATTACTTAGCACTTCCCGGTGTTCTTTCAAAACTCAGCAGTTTCGCAAAACTGTCTTACGACATGGGCTGGGGCAGAAGTGGTATCCAGGAGGTTCTGACCAGTTCTGGAGAACCGGTAGTGGAAATTTTGAGTAGTTGGGAGAACCGGTACATACCATCTCTGGCTGGCCCCGCCCCATCTCTTCTCTACCTCCTGAGTCCCAGCTGATTGGGAGAAAATGGGAAATTTACAGTATCCTTCCCTTGCCATACCCACCAAGCCACGCCCACACCCACCAAGCCACGCCCACACCCACCAAGCCACGCCCATGGTAGTAAAAAAATTTGAATCCCACCACTGGACTGAGGATCAGGTGAAGGCAACGTGAATGACATAGTAAAGGAACTTATAGTATGTAAGATGCGAGAAGGGGACGATCTTTTTAGTGCCAACATGTGTGGGCTTAAGCTGGGTGAAGCCATCTATAGTGGGGCCCCATGTTAGCCTGCATTGCTAATAGATAGCATGCTGGGAACAAGTAGTTCAGCAACAATAGATTCTCCTTTTGTGACCCTATGCCTTGCATGTATGTGTAAGAGAAAGTGAAGTGTTACTGGGTAACAATATTTTTCTTTTTTCTTTTTAGGTAAAGTAGCAGATCTTCAGAGGCAGCTAGAACAAGAACGGAAAAATCGAGACTTTGATAAACATGAAAGGTAACAAACAAAATTTTGCTTGTTGCTGGGAATCACCAGTCCTTCATATATCCTGCATCCAGAAACAGCCAGCCAGATGTTTCTAGGGAATATCCCCATGTCCTAGAGCCCACAATGTCACAAGGACCAGGAACTGCTGCTAAAAGTCCTTAAAATTCAGAACAAAACAAAGGTACTGGTGTCAGACCAATGGATGCCATCCTGCCCAGCATCCATTTCATACTGTTGGAAGAATTGTCCATCTGGGTTCAGTTCCCAAGTGGGAAGAAAGACCCTGGAAACATGATGGCTGCTTGGAAAGATGGTTTAATGGTGGACAGGACCACATGGATTGAGGTCCTGGGGGGAAAAGGGGGATCATATGCCTTGAAGAACTTGAAGAAAAAGGGAAGAGATGCTGAGAGAGTCTCAGTTTTATACCCTCTCTTGGGCCCTGCCTTGGAGCTGTTCCTGTGTAAGAAATGTATTCTGATTGGTTGTCAGACTCCCATGGGTCTTGGTTAACTTTGTAGGCTGTCTGTCCCAGGCTTAGTTGACCCTTGCTGGCTGATGTAATCTTCCCAGTTTCCATGTGACAAGTTTCTGTTGCTAGACGGGTCCTATTATGGCTCTGCCTAAAAGAGGTAGATTTTTGTTATGTAGAATACACTGGCTCAGGCCTTAAAGGCCCATTGACAAAGAGCTGTTAAGAGTGAATCTGTTTCCTGCCTAAAAACATGTTTCTCCATACTCGGTCTTTTTAATATTTCCTAGGATATTTCATTCTTCTAGAAAAGGTGCTAACCTCCTACAATACAATAAACGATAAAATAAACCCCCTCATTCCTCAACTGGGCAATTCCCTGTGTTTTGAGATGGCATCTCCCAGAATTCCAAGCCTTCAACCCCGGAGGCAATTCTGGCACATGAAGGGTCAGTTGGTTATTCTTTTTGATTAGTTCCCATCCTCGGTTTCTTAATCAATAACATAAAATAAAGCCAAGTGGCATAAGAGATGGGAACAATTTTACGGTCCAGGTCTCTGTGATACGGTACGGGGGGTCCTGTTATCACAGGCAACTGTATAGTCCAGGAGTCAGCAACCGTAAACACTCAAAGAGCCATTTGGACCCGTTTCCCACAGAAAAGAAAACACCGGGAGCCACAAAACCCTTTTGACATCTAAAATGAAGATAACACTACATATATCGTTTTTTTATCTTTATAAAAAGAAACTATGGTGGCATTTATGGCATTTATGAAATCAATGAACTGCTACAGAGAATACAAATTTTTATTTCTGCATGTAACAAAAACATTTTGAACTCCGGAAAAAAAAAAGATGGGTTGAAAAGCTCAATAAAGCTTGCATGCTTGTGGCCGTCGCACATTGGCGGTTGTGACGCATATTTTGAGCTACAGGGAGCCAGAGTAGAGGGATGAAAGAGCCATAGGTTGCAGATCCCTGGTATAGTCCAATTGATAGACTCTAACGAAGAGGTCTCCAACCTTGGCAACTTTAATCCTGGTGGACTTCAACTCCCAGAATTCCCCAGCCAGCTGTGGAACTCTGTGGATGTGGAACTCTGGGAGTTGAAGTCCACCAGGCTTAAAGTTTCCAAGGTTGGAGACCCCTGCTCTAATGAACCCTTTGAGAAGTGTTTATGAGGTTGGAACAAAAGAGCCAAGATGGTGACTACAATGACATAACCAGTGCCTTTTCTCTGAACCCTTCCTTTTTCTTCTAGAGCGTCGTACCAGAACAGAATCGGGGAATTAAACTATCAAATTGACAACCAGAAAAAGTGTTCCACCTTAGATACTTTCGTGGCCTGGGCGCTTGGGATTCTTCTCATTTCCTTCAGCTGTTGCTTCTGTGCCGGATGTTGGAAGCTAGTGCAGTAGCATTGCCGTTCAAGAAGTCCTGGGATCAATGGCGGCAGCTTAAAAACAAAGTACTGCGGCGGGAAAGGAAACACTACTCCTTCTTACTTGCCCATTTGAAATATAAATGTCTTTGTTAAGCACTGGGTTTGTTTCCCAACAGAGTTATATTTGTATTTTATTTTATTTTTTTAAAAAAATATGTCCTAAATCATTTAAAGCTGTACTTTAAATGTATTATTTAGAGCCATGGTGTGGATAGAATCCTGTACTGCAGGCTACTTCTGCTGACTGCCGGCTGCCTGCAATTTGGCAGTTCAAATCTCACCAGGCTCCAGGTTGACTCAGCCTTCCATCCTTCTGAGGTGGGCAAAATGAGGACCCAGATTGCTGGGGGCAATAGGCTGATTATGTAATCCACTTAGAGGGGGTTGTAAAAGCACTGTGAAGTGGTATATAAGTCTAAGTGCTATTGCTATTAAGTCACATAGTCAGACAGATGTTTGGGCTGGATTTGGCATTTTTATCCACCTATCAAGTCCTTCCCAAGGACTTGGGACAGGCAGATGTGGAGGTCTGGTGGTGTTGCGTTCTGATTGTTGCAGGATGTAAGCTGTTCTGAGAAAAGCTGCCCTTTGCAATTGACTGGTGATTATTTTTTCAATGCCGATGGTATTCAAGGGGTGCTCCAACTAAACACAGAGAGCACCAAGGACCCCTCATTTCAACCCTGAGCTACAAATATTCTCCTTTAATGGTGCTCCAGTTGTTTTGGGATTGTCGCCAAGATGCCTATTGCAGGTAGTCCTCCACTTACAATAGTTTGTTTAGTGACCATTCCAAGTTACAACAGCACTGAAAAAAAACTGACTTACTTTCACACTTACAACCCAGATCAAAATTCAGACACTTGGCAACTGCTTCGTATTTATGACGGTTGCAGTGTTGCGGGGTCATGCAATCAACTTCTGCAACCTTCTGACCAGCAAAGTCAGTGGGGAAGCCAAATTCATTTAACAATTGTGGTACTAATGTCACAACTGTAGGGATTCACTTAGCATCTGTGACAAGAAAGGCCATAAAATGGGGCAACATTCACTTAACAAAAGGAATGTTGGGCTCCATTGTGTCCGTATGTCGAGCACTACCTGTATTAATAATACTATCTTTGCTTTCTTTTGCCACAGTTTCTCTATTTCTATTTGCAGGTCTTTGTATTTTATTGTCATCTTCTCTGTTCTTTCTCTTCTCTTCTGTCTCCAGATTCTGCTACCTATCCACTATCCAAACTTTGTTTTTCTTATCAACAATTGTTAAGTCTGGCATGTTATATGGTAGGTGCCTGCCTGTTTGAATTTTTAAATCCCAGAGCACTTTAGCTGCTTCATTTAGCAATAGCAATAGCAGTTAGACTTATATACCGCTTCATAAGGCTTTCAGCCCTCTCTAAGCAGTTTACAGAGTCAGCATATCGCCCCCACAGT